TTAAAATATAAGATTCGTGGCAAATGGTTAAAGTTTGTATTAGAAAGATGGCTGTTTCGAGAAATCATATTGAAACCTTGGTTCATTAAATATTACTTGTAATCTCGATATTTTACAATTTTACCAGTAAAATTGAAAATATATAAGATTCGTAGCAAATGGTTAAAGTTTGTATTAGAAAGATGGCTGTTTCGAGAAATCATATTGGAACCTTGGTTCATTAAATATTACTTGTAATCTCGATATTTTACAATTTTACCAGTAAAATTAAAATATAAGATTCGTGGCAAATGGTTAAAGTTTGTATTAGAAAGATGTCTGTTTCAAGAAATCATATATAAACCTTGGTCCAGAGGATTTGGACTGGAATGATACCGATCGAAAGAAGAAGGAGGAAGACAAACAGAAGGGGTGGCGGGGTTTTTCTTTTCTTCTTCTTTCCAGGCCGTGTCGAGGAAAGTATATTCGAGTTGTGGTTCGGAGGAAAGCCGAGAGTGGCGCGGGACTCTCGACGGGGGGGCCGCGTATCGTGCGCCCTGCTCGGGGTGATAATTTGCAAGAGACGACAGAAATGGATTGGCAAAGTATGCTCTTCTCGCCGATTGAAAAATTCCCCGTTCGTGAACGCTTTACGCTTTTTTTGTTAATTTATTTACGGGTGAACCTGCTCGAAGGATGTGTCTTCGCTTAATTTTAATAACACGATAGAGTTCGTACGCTCGAGAAACTCGCGATTGTCCACCGCGTTTTTGTTATTAATTTCGATCGAAAAGGATGAATCGTGGATTTGTATTTATTTTTTAAATGTTACGACGATTAAGCTCATTTTTCTAATTTTGTACATATGCAAGTCATGCGTAGATTCTTCTACTTACAAAGTGCAAATTTATTGAGTACAAGTTCTATTTTATAAAACATTCATAAATTGAAAATTGTGGAATATAACAGCAATTATTGTTTTCGCCAAAAGATAAAATATCTTTTATCGAGAAAAGGATTCGTCATTTCTCTTGAAAACTAATATTCAGACGAAAGTTTCAGACGAATTACGATTCGACGGATGAGAGAATTTCGAAAACTTATCCTCGGAAATTTTTCGAAAAGCGATTCCTTAAAATTTATTCGATAAAAATATTTGATAAACTTTTCTAAAATCCTACTCAAAACTGTAGAATTAGAGAAATCGAACAATTCGTTCCATGGCGAATTTCAAAATTTCATAAAAGAAGAAGGGGAAGAGGAGAGTAAAAACGCAAGGAAAAGAGAAGCGTATCGCGGGATGATTACGAAAATGGTCGCGTGCGACTATTAAGCTTCGCCTATTAATAAGCAATTGTTCGTTCAGAGAGAGATCGGTCGTAAAGATATCGAGCCTCGTTACATACTTGACTCGTTTAATTCTCGTTGAAGAGCGATGCTGGGGGGGGAAGAAGATGGGGGCGAATTCGAGTTTGTACGCCGGCGAAACGCGGCGAAAGTGTTGGAAAACGGTCTCACTTTAACCGTCTCCGCCGTAGGAAACCCTCGCGCGAGTAATGGATCCGCGCGCGCCGGATCCAGAAAATCGTAAGTATCCAGCGGGAAAGTATCCGCTTGCACGCTATCTTAGCGGCGATCGCTATCTGCGAAATTGCCTTAAATATTCCAAGGGACTCGTTCCACGATAAATTATGCAACGATATTGTTTCTATCATTCGGCGAACGCAATCCTCCTCCTCCTCCTCCTCCTCCTCCTCCTTCTAGTTTTCAATAAGTCCCGACGAATAATTCACCGGTTTAATCAGCCGGAAGGAAGGGAAGAGCCTCGTTTCCTCTGTTTTTCTGTATTTAGTTATATTGGGGAGTGGATATTAAAATTGTTACTTTTGTTATTTGTGCGTTTGATTATTTAATTTTTTTTAAAAAAGAAAAAAGAAAGGAAATGGTTTGGTCGTGCCCTCCGTTCGCTGTTCTTTTTCTCAATCAACTGGAAGAAAAACGGAAAAATGGATTCGTTTTTTTCTAGTTTTATAATATATTACAAGATGATAAATTCCAATTTAAAATTTTTAATTTTATTATTTTATATATATATATATATATATATATAATGATAATATGCTTTCAATTTTTCAAAAAAGAGAAATTAAATCAGTTGATTTGTAGCAAACAGGTGGCATAGATGATCGTTTATTTTTAAAGGAAAATGATATATATCTGATGAAATCATTCCGTTTTTTTTTTGCTTTCATGATTTATGAAGTTGATCGGTACGACTTTATCGTTTAATCAACTGGAAGGAAGATGAAGTGGAACTTTTATTTTTCCTCTATTTGTGTAATAATACGCGAGTAAATGGTAAATTCTGTTTTAAAATTGTTGATAAACAGAATAAAAAGAATAATTTCGTAGTTTCCGTTCTGTTCTTTTTTTTTTTTTTTTTTAATCAACCGAAGGAAAGAGGAAATTCTCCACTTTTGTAAATTCCAATTAAAAATTCCAATTAAAAATTTCTAATTTTATTATTTTATATATATATATAATGATGATGTTCAATTCCTGAAAAAAAGAGAAATTAAATCAGTTTCACAAGTTGATTTATAGCATAAATAATTTGTGGCATAAATAATCGTTTATTTTAAAGCGAATGATATGTATCTGAAATCATTCCGTTTCTTTGCTTTCACGATTTATGAAGTTAATCGATACATCTACTTCTGATGCGGCTCCTATATACTTCGTACTTATAAAAATATAACACAGTAGTGCATTATTGTATCGATCTATTGTACGATTCATGCCATTATTTTTATTCTCTTGGCATTTGGCTTGCTTGGAAAACTTTAATCATACCTTGTCATACCTTCGAACGAAATAAGATAAAGAATAAATAAAAATAGATAGGTAACTTCGATGTTCCGAATGCTTTCAATTTCCTTTCTTTTCTCTCTTTCTCTCTCTCTCTCTTACATTTTAAAATTCACAGATAAAAAGAATATATATACTGATACAATATAATAACACTTCCTTACCCAACAATTGGAAAAAAAAGAAAATATCAAAAATCTTTCTCCTAATATTTAAACAATTTTATCAATATATATATATATATATATATATACGTACTTTTTAAATATTTATACATATATGCAGATGTGGAAGCGGTACAAAACGGTATAATTGGCGGTAAGAGGGGGTATAAAAATTCGATCGTTCAGCCGTAATTTGGAGAGTGTCCGGTGGTGGCGGCCGGCTTGTCATAAACCGGATTTACTGTCGGGCTTCGTGAACTTTACGAGGATCGGCAAAACGTTGTGTACAAACGTTGTGGGTATAAAAGAGGACGGGGGGGGGGGGGGGGAGGCAGAAAAGGCGTAGGAGGTCGAGGGAAGTCGGAGGGAAGGACAGGTTCAAAGAACTCCACGAATTATAGAAAATACGAGGGCCGGCCGAGCGGTTAATTTCTGCTACCCCTGCAGCTCGTGGAATTATTGAAAATGTCCGCGGATGAAACTTTTATCCGATACCTCCTCCTTCACACAGGAAAGGAAACAGGATGCTCCCTTGAATTTATTTTGCAAAACGATCGCTCCGCTCTTTCTCTCTCTCTCTCTCTCCTTTCCCCTCTTTCCTCCTTTTCCTAGAAGAAGCTGCGACGAGCAAACGATTAATCGATCAGATCGTTGCAATTTCCAATTCTAATTCGTGTAAATATAATGCTCGACGAACTTGACGACATGTAATAATCCTCTTACGTCAGATAACACGTCAACAGACGATGTCAACACACGCATCGTTTTCGACTGAATTTGAACACGATGAATCAAAAACTACTACTATCTTCCATTTCGTACAATTTTTTTTCTTCAGAGAAACTTAAACGTTCTCGAATCTTGAATCGAAGATCCTTCTCCGCCCAATTCCACGGAATCGAAATAAGAACGGAAAGAATCGAAAAACGAGAAATCCTCTCCTCTCCTCTCAAGATGGCTTCGACTCGCGTATTCCAAGCTGTCAGAGTGTCCCGTCCAGGGATCGGGGCACGAGCTACGTAACAGCAATTAACCATCGGCCAATTAATAACCGGCCGTTATAGATGCTGGCAGGGATCGTTTCGATCGCGTGGAATCGCGTACATACATATACACGGCCAAAGTGTTTCGTGTGCGCTAGTGTGGTGTATCGTTTCTATTCCCTCCTCCCTCGCCTCCCCACCTTCACCTCCCGGCGAAACGCTCCGGTGTATCGTATCCCTCCCCCCACTGTGTATGGACCCCTCACCCTCGCCTCCGCCGTCGCGTACACTCGCCTCCTCGCCCGTGTGTGCAGCTAAAACGCAGGAAAGGGGGGAACGTAATAGCCTCGCATGATACACCGCCATTAATCCGCGTATATACCCTTCCATACTTTGGAGGAATAGACACCTCGTACGCCTCGGTTTCATAGCCGGTTCATCAGCCGGATATCTCCTTCCCCTCCTCCTCCTCCTCCTCCTCCTCCCCTCCTCTTCCCTCCCTCGCCCCTTCCCACTCCTTCGCCCCTTCCTGTCTTTTCCTCTCACTCGCGATGATTTAATTTCGCCCCGTCTTCCTCTCCCTCTCTCCCCCTCTTCTCTCTTCTTCTTTCACAGAATCTCCCCCACGGGCGAGAGAAGATTCGGAGAGAGAGAGAGAGAGAGAGGATCGGATGACCAGGAGCCTCCCAGGAGGGGGTTGGACGAATTTTGGGGGTTGTTTTTTTCGTTGTGTTGGCGGAGGTGGTTGGTCGAGATCAGATGGATCAGAAGGTTTTAATAAATCTCTCTTTTCTTTTCTTTTTTTTTTAATTTAAGATTTAACTTGAAATTTAACAGAGTAAGTAGCGAAAAGAAAATTCTGTTTAATTCCGAGTCGTAGGAAGAGAGAGAGAGAGAGAGAGAGAGGAGGGTGTTTTGTTGCTCGTTTGGAATGTTTCGTCGATTAAATTTGGCTTTCGAAATCTGAAAAAGAAACGAAAGAATAAACGAATAGTTTGGAACTGACCTGCAGGAACATTTCGCCGTCGAGATGATGATGGTCGTATGCGGCGAACGCCGCCAACTCCCTCGCCCGATAGTGAGAATCGTGGTGCGAATTTTCTTCCTTGTCTTTGTGCATCACCACTGCAAAAGAGATTTGAAAAAGAAGAATTTATTAATCGGGACGCTTCCACTCGTTTCATCCCTTCCCTTCCCTCCGATTTTTTCCAAACTTCCAAATTATTTATCGCGAAAATCATCCCTTCCCTTCCCTTCGATTTTTTCTAAATTTTCAAATTATTTATCGCGAAAATCATCCCTTCCCTTCCCTTCGATTTTTTTAAATTTCCAAATTATTTATTGCGAAAATCGACGATATCGTTATTCCAAATATAACCGACGACAAAATACTTGATCTTTATCAGAATCAAAAAAAGAAGAGGAATAATTCGAATAATTCCTCGTAAGAGTCGCTTATCCATTCCACTGTCCTCCCTCTTCTCGTCCATCGACCCTCTTCGCGTGAAAGAGACTCGAGAAAGAAACGAAAAGGGAAGGGAGAAGGCAGTGGACACCGCAACGTACCCCTCTTTATCTTCTCAAATCGGATCCTTCCGCTCGAGAGAAACGGAGAACGGTTTCCACCGGTGGAGCGTTATCGAGCTGATGATAATCCCATCGTCGGGCCGACGATTCTTCCGCGAGCGGAGGAAAGGGAAGGGAAGGAGAGAGGGAGGCCGAGCGAAAGCATGGAACGAAAGGAAGGAGATTAATGGAAGGAGAAACGGAGAAGATCCGGCAATACGTGACAGGATACGTGAGCGACACTTCCTTTTAAGCCCTATAATATAACCCGTCGATCTCTCTTTCTCCCCGTCTTTACACCTGCCGTATCCCCTCCCTCCTCCCCTCAACGTGCACGCACATAATTACGCTAAAAAACGTGGCAAGATATCGTTAAAAAAAAAAAAAAAAAAAAAAAAAAAAAGAAAAAGAAAAAGTCGAGTCCAACTCCTCGCGAACTCCAACGATTCGTCTCAATTTAAAACTCTCCCCTTCTATCCCATTCCAAGGGAGAAATTTCTTCTGACGTTTCCTCGTGTTAATCCTTAAAACATGGATTACTATGGTCGATTCGTCTTTCTCATGGGATGCAACATTCACACGTACATCGATTCATAAATATATATATATATTTGTCCCTCACTTTTTCTCTCTCTCCCTCTTCCTATCGACATACGTAAAAATCACAATTCCAAGGGAATTCTTCTCTCATCTCTCGTGGAACGATAATTCGGTTCAACGTACGTGCGGGAAGTGAAACTCGGTGTTACGAAGAGCGTTGGAGCGCGCGACTACTCAGGAGTGGGTCCCCCCCTCCTCCTCCTCCTCCTCCTCCTCCTCCTCCCCCTCGAGGTCGACACACGATTTTCGTATCATTTACACGAGGAAACCGATCGCGGCCGGGTAAAATACGATATTTGAGGAGTAGCGGGCCGAGGTAAAGTGAAAGCACGACGGCTCCGTATCACCACCGCCGTGGCAGACCGTGTACGAATAAGAAAACAAGACCACCTGCGAGGTGGAGAGAAGCCGGATGATACGGAGTCCGCCGATGCGTTTCGAAAGCGAACAACCTCCTCCACCTCCCTCTCGTGGAGCATTTAGCGTCGAAGGGCATCGATGCGTGCATGAAAGATGCGCGACTTGGCCGCTCGTAAAAAGGTGCACGCAATACTCCTCGGTGAAGCACGCGTGCGCCACGCGACCCTTCGGGCCAGTTTTCATCGTGCTTGCTCATCGTCCCGCTATCACCACGCCGTTTCAACTTGATCCGACGTGTCTCTCGCGTTTACGTTACGTGGGTGGGGATCGAGGTGAACCAAGAATGTTTAAATTTCATCAATTTCATCAATTAGATATAAAATCTTTAATGATGGAAAACAAATAATTAAAAGAAAAAAAATTGGAATAATTGTTCAAATAATTTCAATATTATGATTTTTTAATAAAAATAAATTTGAAAATTTATTTAAAAATAAATATATATAATAATATAAACCGTTAATGTGGAAATTATAATAATAATAGTTATAACTATATTATGAAATGAAATTAGATTATCTGCATAGAATGAATTTGATTCTTGAAATATTAATATTATTCATGTTGATATTTTAATAAATTAAATTAAAATTTATTAATTTTAATAAAAGTTTATCGAAATATTTTTTTCTTTAAATTCTTTAAAAGGGATGCGCGCCTCGGATCGAGGAAGATTGATGCGTGGAGAGGATGAAATTGTTTCGAGAATGAAAAATTTTGTTTCGTAGAAATGTACGTGTAATTATTAAATTCCTCCAAATTCTAAGGCGCGGTTTTAAACTTGAAAAAGTTGAACGTGGATGAAAGAGTAATAATAATAATAATAATCTCAATTAAATTAATTACGTCAAGAGTTCACTCGTTCAAGTTTATTAATTACTTTTTCTACGTAATATATATATAGATATATAAAGAATGAAAGAAACAGACAGCTCACGCGAGAATACATTTAACACTTATTAAAAAGAATTATGACATCCGTAATTTTTTGCATAATTGGGAGCAAAGTGCGAAAACTCGAAAGAAAGAATTAAAAGACCGTGGAGGAGCGCGAAAAGAGAGGAAAAAGTATACGAATAATTATTAATTAATAAGATTCCTAGATCCAAAATCCATTAAAAGTTCGAAACAACAAATTCAAGAAAGATCGAAAAGCGCGTTAAAGAGATTAAAAGAAGCGCGACGACGCGCGATTATTATTAAATAATCGTATTAACCGACGTACCGAATTGGAAAACAAATTGGAATAAAATTGAACGCGATAATTCACAACGAATCGCTTCGTTTCACCCCGTACACCTGTAATTATCGTATATATATATATACACACGAACACCTATCGCCGAGCAATCACACCGATTCACATCGATTCGTTCCCGCGCACAATTTTTAAACCTCCCCCCCTCCGGATTGGTCCTTGCGGCGGAAGAGAGGGATCGATCGGGGTAGAAACACGGGCATTAGCCACGGTCATTAGCCGTGACGGAGCCATCTCTCGACCTCGAACAGGAGGAGGAAGCATTGAAAATCGAATTCGTCGTCAGGGTAAATAAAGCTTGGGCCACGTATCCCCGTTATCTCGATGGCCATTCTAATGGGGGTCCTGTCCCAGAGGGTCGCGTGGCTGAAACGCGGCCGCAGAAACGACATTGCGTGCCACTATTTACGAGTGGACAACCTCCGTGTGCCGCTCATCCTTCCTGCACGCGTCTCCTTTTCCTTCCATGAAACGGATCCCGAACCGGAGAATCGGGCTCGCTCATCTTCCTTCCTTCCTGTTCCTAATCGGGCAACGATCGTAAAAACAGGGTTACGCTTGTAATTTTTCAACCCGCCAATTCCTCAAATTCGTTCATTTTTAATGTTTGGTATCGTTACAGATTACTCTTAAAATCTTACTTCGAACGAATTTGATTACATTCTGTATTATATGAAACGGAAACGGATGATTCTTTAAGCGATTCGAAGTCTGGTGAACATCAATCGTGATATCTTTCCATCGATTCTTTGCGAACTTCACGTTCAATTGTACTTAACTCTATCCAATAATATCTTAATATTAATATCGTTGCAACGGCGGTAATAAAATATCGTAGCTTTCAAACGAACGACGACGATCGTAACATCCCCATAAATAAGAAATTCTCGATTAAAACACAGGAAAAACCTGCACTATCGTAGCAGGATCCGCTCTCGTGCGGAAACTTTGGTGTACGGCGCGTCACACGGGAAGAAAGGGACAGTGAAATGGAAGAAAACTGTGATACCGATCGGGATCCGGCGATGCGAGGGAAGGGCGAGATGTTGATCGGTCTTTTTTAATAATAATCGCGCTTCCTTCCACGAGGTCGGATCCGAGCGGAAGCGACGGAATGAAAAGCGGAGCAGAGGCCAATCGGAATGCTCGGAGGGATCGGAGCGATGGCGTATACGCGAAGGGGATCCCTCCATCGAGTTCACCTCGATGTGTGTGCACGGGGCTCGAAACGCGTGAAACACGATCTTGCGAGGAGGGAGCGCGAAAGTTTGCTCGTCATGCTTGTTTGTCGAACGATTTAGGATACGTTTGCGAAGCTTGACACGCTTACCGAACACGGTGACGAGGAATCGAATTAGTCGAGCTGTTGACTGTCGGGCGTGGACATGTCCATCATCCCCTTGTAGGCTTCTAATCTACTTTCGTTAAAGCGACCTCTCTTTTCCTTTCCTTTTTCTTTCTTTTTCTCATTTATAGTAAATCTCTTCGAGTTTATTTCGAGTATTATTCATCTTTCAATACGTTGGAAGTCTGTGTCGATCAGTTTTCCGGTTTAGAGAAACCCTTCCAACCTCTTTACTTTTAATCTTTAATAGTTTGATTTATATTCTTTTAATATGTTGAAAGCAAATGTCAAGTCAATTTTTAAATTTTCAGAAGCCCTCTCAATCTCTTAACTTTTAATCTTTAATATTCTGATTTATATTCTTTTAATATCTTGAAAGTCTGTCGAGTCAATTTTCTAATTTCCAAAAGCCCTAACTTTTTAACTTTTAATCTTTAATACGAATATTCTTTTAATATGTTGGAAGCCTGTCAAGTCAATTTTTAAATTTCCAGAAGCTCTCCCAACCTCTTAACTTTTAATCTTTAATACGAATATTTTGATTTATATAGTTTTGATATGTTGGAAGCTTGTCAAGTCAATTTTTAAATTTCCAGAAGCCCTCTCAATCTCTTAACTTTTAATCTTTAATATTCTGATTTATATTCTTTTAATATCTTCGAAGTCTGTCGAGTCAATTTTCTAATTTCCAGAAGCCCTAACTTTTTAACTTTTAATCTTTAATACGAATATTCTGATTTATATTCTTTTAATATGTTGGAAGCCTGTCAAGTCAATTTTTAAATTTCCAGAAGCCCTCCCAATCTCTTAACTTTTAATCTTTAATATTCTGATTTATATTCTTTTAATATCTTGAAAGTCTGTCGAGTCAATTTTCTAATTTCCAAAAGCCCTAACTTTTTAACTTTTAATCTTTAATACGAATATTCTTTTAAT